AGGAAGGAAGGAAGGAAGGAAGGAAGGAAATGGTTTTCCCTGGCCAGCACTCTGCTGCTATTCCATTTCTTATAAAGCAAAGGAAAGCGTGCTACTTATATACTGCCCCATAATGCTTCAAGCACTCTCTGGGCGGTTTAGAAGTTAATTATGCAGGCTACACATTGCCCCCCCCCCGAGAGCTGGGTACTCATTTTACCTTGGAAGGATAGAAGGCTGAGTCAACCTTGAGCTGGCTACCTGGGATTGAACCCCAGGTCGTGAGCACAGTTCTGGTTGCAGTACAGCGATTTAACCACTGCGCCACGAGGCTCAGTGTAACACCACTTCCTTTTATTTTAAATTTTGCAACTTGGATCCTTTTAAAACAATTATTATTATTTCCTACCCTTCTCTTCTTCCTGATTTGCACTGGCTTCCATTTCCCTATAGCAGGACTTCCCTACAGGTTGAGCCTCCTGATGATGTTCAACTCCAACTCCTGCCAGTTCTGGCCAGAGCTGTCAGTGGTTAGAGGATTATGGGAGCAACATCTTCAGGACACACATTCCCCCTCCCCGACCCTTGAGAACTGAATGTTTGTTTTATTTGCCTCATAAACACCTGCTTGGTCAGGGACCTCTTATCTTTTTCCTGCCTTATCAGTTGGATGTTCCTTCTTACTCTTTATTTTTCCGTTGTCCTTCACTTCTTCTTAGACCCCAGATTTCATCTGTTATCTCTCACTTATACCCCTGCTGTTCTTCCTCTTTGGCATGTCCTGCCTTTTAATATTAGAATATTTCCATGCATTATTTTTAGCTAACTGAATAGCTCAATGGTTTAGGTATCTGGCTGCAAAACCAGAGGTGGAGAGTCCTGTTCCCCACTCCCATGAATACAGCCAGCCTGTGTGGCCTTGGGCGAGCTGCACAGTCCCAGGACGTCCCTAGACGAAAGGAACGGGAAACCACTTCTGAGAACTCTATACCTGGAAAACCTTGAAAAGGGTCACCGTAACTCAGAACTGACTTGACAGCACAAGATTATTATATTATTTTAAGCACTATCGTAAGTCACATTTTTGTTTTCCCTGACTTCTACTCATTATTTACATGCTCCCCTTTATTTGCATTCCTGTCGTGTTACTTCCCACTTTCCTTGTTTGCCCATTTGATTATAACTAGTGAAGATGTTTCTTAAATTTCTGCCCTTTCTCTAACCAATTCGGAGCACTTTATGCAATCCTCCTCCTTCTTTGTCTTCACCACAGCCCTGTGAGGTAGGCAAGGCTGAGAGGCCACAATTATTTCCAAATCGTCCAGTACAGCATCAAAACACTAGACGCTGTTCCAAGTCCTACGTACAGAGCACGTTACCATAGTCTCCTGAGACTGAAGGATGCTTATGATGATGATGATGAAGTGAAGATTTGAACCTGGCTGTCTCCAGCCCTAATTTGACATTCTAATGATTACTCCAGACACTTAGAATTTAATTTGAAATGCTTTAGAAATACATTTGCAACCTCTCTACCTGATGCTTTCTAGGCTCCAAATTCAGTTTTCAATCGAAACATTAACACTAGTAATTCAGGAACTAGAGATTCTCATGTTCAAAGATAATCCTGACTTCCAAAATGTTACGAGTTTTTTACAACCTCACATGCTGCCTGTAGTAAATCTGGTTGAGAGAGACCTTTCTTGGTTGTCAATCTATCAAGCATTAACCAATACTCCCTTCCTGCCTTTAAATGTAAAAGGAGTCCTGCCTCTCTGCTCTGCTTTTTCCCTCTGTTTCGTCTGTTGGAGTTGTCTGTTTGCTGTGAATCTGTTCATAATTATTAATAATGAAATGTTTTCATTCTTTCTCCTATAAATGTCTACGAGTGAATTATTGAGACTGTCATAAGTAGGCATCCTTCAGTCTCGAGAGACTATAGTAACGTGCTCTGAAAAGAGGACTTGGAACAGCATCTAGTGTGGCTGAGAAGGCTAATTCAAGAGTGACAATCCCTTCTATTGTGAGGACAAATACAATATGTCCCCTGTCCAGCTCCCTGGTTTTGCTCGTTTTGGGATTGCCTCTTTGCCTCGGCCTGCTGAACAAGTGTCTCTTCAAATTGGGAGAGGCCATGCTGTAATGCCTGCCTCCAGGCTGAAGGCTCAGATGTCAACATTTCTCATCTGTTGAGGTCCATTCTTAAGGCTTTCAGATCCCACTTGCAGATATCCTTGTATTGCAGCTGTGGTCTCCCTCTGGGGTGCTTTCTCTGCACTAATTCTCCATACAGTTTTTGGTGGGGTTTTTTTAAATCCGACCATCAGCCATTCTCACGACATGCCCGAGCCAACGTAGACATCACTGTTTCAGTAATGTATACATGCTAAAAACTTCAGCTCGTTCTAGGACTACTCTATTTGGAATTTTGTCCTCCCAGATGACACCAAAAAATGTGTTGGAGGCAACACATATGGAAGGTGTTCAGCTTCCTCTCCTGCCATGCACAAAGGGTCCAGGATTCACTGCAGTACAGGAGTGTGCTCAGGACACAGGCTCTATAGACCTGGATCTTGGCATATGCCATCAGCTTCTTATTAAGCCATACTCTCTTTGTGAGTCTAGAGAACATGGTAGGTAGCTGCTTTGCCAATGCGTTTATCCAGCTCGACATCTAGAGAGAGAGTGTCAGAGATTGTTGAGCCAAGGTACACAAAGTCATGAACAACCTCCAATTCTTGTGTAGAGACAGTAATAGAGGGAGGTGAGTTTACACCCTGGCCCATGACTTGTGTTTTCTTCAGGCTGATTGTTAATCCAAACTCTTGACAGGCCTTGCTAAAATGATTCATGAGTTGTTAGAGGTCTTCAGCAGAGTGGGCAACAATGGCTGCATCATCAGTGAACAGGAAGTCCCGTATGCATTTCAGTTGGACTTTGGTTCTCGCTCTCAATCTAGAGATTAAAGAGCTTTCCATCTGATCTTGTCCAGAGATAGACACCTGTTGCAGTTCGATAAGTGTGCTTCAGCATGACAGCAAAAAAGATCCCAAACAGAGTCAGCGCAAGGATACAGCCCTGTTTCACTCCGCTTCGGATGTCAAAGGGATCTGATGTTGAGCCATCAAAAACTACAGTGCCCTTCATTTCCTCATGAAGGGACCTGATGATGTTATGGAGTTGAGGTGGACATCCAATCTTGGGAAGGATTTTAAAAAGGCCGTCCCTGCTAACCAAATCAAAGGCCTTTGTAAGATCTATGAAGGCCACAAAGAGTGGCTGTTGTTGTTCCCTGCATTTCTCCTGCAACTGTCTGAGGGAAAATACCATGTTAGAGATGGATCTATTAGCTTGAAATCCACACTGTAAGTGCCAGTTAATGAGAAAGGAACAGACTTTGGAGGACTTGTAGCTATTATTTTTTGCAAGTCTCTCTACTTCTACTGTGAGCACAAGGAATTTTTACCAGGAATTCAAAGCTGTGCAACACAAAAGAAGCTTAGTGTAACCAGTAAGGTTTCCAACTGGGGCTTCACTGTCCTATTGGTTAAGCTTGAGTAATGAGAGCTTGGCATGCACGAGGAGATGACAAGAGAAAGCAGATGAACTCCTATATCTGAGCATTACATATTCACAGTTGGGGGTAGAATTGTTGTATTTTCAGGGTCACATATACCATCATTCTCTACTCTGGGAGTTCTGCCTACTTGGCAAGCACCTGATAAACATCTCAATGTGGCTCACCTGGGGGGAAAAAGCTTACATTACAAGGCTTTGAGGCTTAGCCGAGCTGAAGAAGCCCCATGCTTCCTGTCCCTACCCCAGTGCTAACTGGGAGCTTGCTTTCTGAGAAGAACACTTGGGTGGAAGGGCCCAACTAAGCCTCAAAGTTGTCTAATTGAGGCCCATCTCCCAGGTGCATCACATTGAGTTGTTTGTCAGGTGCATGCAAAGTAGACAGAGCTCCAGGAATGGAGAATGATGGTATCTGTGGTCCAGAAAATTTAAAAAATCCATCCCTGGACAAAGTAGTCTGGTGCCCCATCTACCTATTTGATGGGAGGGGTGTTTCTTCATGAGAAGGAATGGCTAGAGACAGTGTACAGGAAAGAAAGGTTTACGCCTTTCCGGCCACAGATACCAACATGCAGGTTTGTGCCCTGCTCAAAACAAACTCTTAAACCCTCTAAAATAATGTTGGCGCCCTGGGTCAAAATCCCAGTCTGTCCCCCACAATTCCAGCTCTGCTCAAACTACAGATATACATGAACCTCTCCACACACACACACATATGCAAAAAGAACTACCTGTGTTATTCTGGACAGCACTAATGTTTCTTCTGTTCTGCATCATCTTGTATTCATTCCCTTCTTTCCTCAGCTTCCTTTTGCCCGCCACGTCTGGTGTCTCCCTGGGGAAGGGGAGGGGAGGGAAGAGAAGACATTTTACTGCCCTCATAGCAGAAGGTGTCAGAATCGCTGCCATGCACACTTGAGAAAGTTCAGCAATACCTACGAGAATGCGTGGTTCTGTGCTTCTGCCAGTCGCAACCTCTTTGCGTGATTCTTCCCTTGATAGTGAGCCTGGGCCACAGCCGGTGAGCTAAAGGAAGCATCACACAATTTACAGTAGTCATTCTCTGTAGCCAAGATCACTCGCCCTCCTGGTTTTGGAGACGCCCCCTGGACGGAAAGGAAAAGCGATGAACACATGGAGATTCATTCGTCCTCTGAGATGTTCTGTTTTGATGCGATCTGTGTGCCTGCAAAAGCCTAAAAGATTTGGGAGCTTGATTGTCCAAAGCATTGCATCTTCCAGTTTGCACCAAACTGGAAGATACGAGATCAGCCTCAGAGGGCATTCCTAAAGTCGAAAATGCAGGACTGGATAGCTTGGGGGAGGGACCTTTTTTTAGGATCACACTCTGGCTTTTTTAAACTACTGCTCAGGAATTCCCGGTAAGCATGCCTACAGTCCCTATTTTCTGGAGATTCTGGGATTTGTAAGCCAACAAAGTAACTTTTCCATAAAGTTACGTTCTGTTTCATGGCCTCTTGTGTATCAACAAAAAACCTTTCGATTTTCCTCAATTCTTTTTTAAAACCTCTCAAAATAAGTTTAAAATTAAGATTCTTAAAGGACCCAAGGGAAATAAACAGGTTTTTTTTCTCCTGGCAATCAGAAGGCCACAAAACAAAACTTGAAAAAGTTGGCTTTTCAACTACAGCTCCCAGAATTCCAAAGCCAATATTTTCTGCTTCATAGTTTACTCTTGCATTTTTTTGTTTCTCTGTTATTGAAATTCTTGCAGAAAACATTCTTATTGGGTAGTACAAAAATATTATTAATAATAACGCATTTCTTTTCTATCCTGGCCTCTTTTTCCTAAAAATGGTTAATTAAAACATTCTTCACCTTATGAAAGGTAATGATTATTTATTGTGACAGCCTCCTCTCACGTCACAAAGGAGCTGCCACGTCACTCTCACACCCTCACATGAGACTCACACCTCATTCACTCCCCCTTAAATACCCTAGCTCCACCCTCTTATGTCCCACCTCCTGTCACGCTATTGGCAGATGACATACAGCCACAGCACTGACGGGCAGATGACATCACCGCTACTGTAATAGTTCCGTTCACCCTGAATGCTTCTGCTAAGCCTTTTTTTTCAGATGTCAAATGAAACCCTACCAAGACACCAGGCAGCTGTTTGCTCACCTTGCAAAAGAGGTGGCTCCAGCTTTCATGGGGCCCATCCAAAGACCACACTCTGAAGCAGCTTCAGATATCTGTTTCAGAAGCAGGACTCCAGACTGGTTTTGACTACATGGATCCTACCATCAATTAGCTCATATCGCTTAGCCTAACTGGTTCCCAAAGCTATAAAAGACATTCACAATAGCGACTTATGACATATTGGCTGAAATCAGGGAGCTGGACAGGGGACAGATTGTATTTGCCTTCAGTGTGAAAGGGATGGTCACTCTCGGATTGGCCTTCTCAGCCACACTAGGCACTGTTCCAAGACCTCTATTCAGAGCACGTTACCATAATCTCTCAAGACTGAAGGATGCCTACTGAACATTGGCTGAAATCTTGTTGTTACACAAAAGGTAAAGGTAAAGGTTCCCCTTGACAATTTTTGTCCAGTCGTGTTCGACTCTAGGGGGCGGTGCTCATCCCCGTTTCCACGCCATAGAGCCAGTGTTTTGTCCGAAGACAATCTTCCGTGGTCACATGGCCAGTGCGACTTAGACACGGAACGCTGTTACCTTCCCACCGAGCTGGTTCCTATTTATCTATTCGCATTTGCATGCTTTCGAACCACTAGGCTGGCGGGAGCTGGGACAAGCGACGGGCGCTCACTCCATCGCGTGGATTCGATCTTACAACTGCTGGTCTTCTGACCCTGCAGCACAGGCTTCTGCGGTTTAGCCCGCAGCGCCACCACATCCCTGGTAGTTGTTACACAAGTGGAAGGCAAAAGGCATAAGAACATAAAAAGAGCCCTGCTGGATCAGGCCAAGGACCCATCTAGTCCAGCTTCCTCTATCTCACAGAGACCCCACCAGATGCCTCTGGGAGCACACGAGACAACAAGAGACCTGCCTCCTGATGCCCCTCCCCTGCATCTGGCATTTTGTGGTACCTTCCTTTTAAGCCTGGAGATTATACATCCCCATCATGGCTTGTAACTCGTGATGGAGTTTTCCCCCAGGAATCTGTCCAATCCTCTTTTAAAGGCATCTAGGCCAGATGCCATCACCACATCCTGTAGCAAGGAGTTCCACATAATATTCATTTGCTTCTAGCTAGCAATTAACGAGTTGTGGCTACAATTCTTGGTGTGTGCTCGAGAATCCCAGCAGGGACTGTTTAGCTCAGTGGTGTCGAACTGTGGCCCTCCAGATGTTCTTGGACTTCAACTCCCAGAAGCCTTCACCACCACCTCTGCTGGCCAGGATTTCTGGGAGTTGAAGGCCAAGAACATCTGGAGGGCCACAGTTCGACACCACTGGTTTAGCTGCTGGCTAGAAGCAAGTGAATGTTACGTCTTTTGCCTTCACCTGCATAACCAAGCAGTATTTGTTCAGCCATTATATCATATTCCCTCAATCACCTGACAAACGAATGCAGGTACAGCTCTTCCATCACAACAGCCATGAACTCATCTCAGAGCTTAGAACAGTCGCTTGCTTGGAATAGAGATCATGCTGATAGAGAATTCTGGGAGCTGTAGTCTAAAGAGGCAACTTTTCAATGCTTTGACATAAACTACATTCGCAGCTTTGCTAGGGGGAGGTTAATGAAACGAGGTCACTAGGGGCACCTGCTCAGAGTTCAGTTTCCAGGCACAAGTCCAGCCAAAGCTAAGCCACTGGCCTGTGAGCAAGACCCTTGGCACTTCGGATGAAACCCTGCCTCTATGATCTTTTAAAGTGCCACAGCAAACTAACCCAGTGACTGTTGTAGAGTTAAGCACTGAAATCTCACTGAGCAGTCAATCTCATAGATTTCAGTAGGAAAAAATCAAAGCATGCCCTTGACTCTTTTCCCAGATCATCATTGAGGCCTTCCAAGTGTTTACCTCTAGCCGGATCAGATACCAGTACAGGCAATGAAGCAGACACACTGCTGGAGGACACAATGCATCACAAACATTTCCCATACAAAGGCAAAAATGGTGTCCATTCATTTCAGTGAACTGTGGCCACTGCAAGTACAATTGACCTCCTAACACCCAGTGAGGCATCTTGGGACTAATAAATGACAGCAATGGTTACACATCTGAAGAATCTGAACCACCTGTTTGCGCCTTCATCTGGATAGTGGCTCAGATGCTAGAAACATCCCACTGAATTGAGATTTAAAGAGAATCTTTTTTTAAAAAAAACATTTTATTAGTTTTTCATTCTATCTACATTATTTTATGCTTGTCAGACATCGTGTTACATATTTTGCTTACAATTATTTGTTTTTTACATCTCACTATCAAGAGGCAAAACTATCTAATCAACATCAGAAGGACTATAGTCTGCAAGCAACAGGGAACAACAAAGAAGGAAATGGGAATACAGTGGTGCCTCGCATAACGATGTTAATTGGTTCCATTAAAAACACTGTTATGTGAAAACATCGTTAAGCGAAACACCATTTCCCATAGGAATGCATTGAAAACCGGTTAATCCGTTCCAATAGGAGCCTATTCAATACATTTCAATGGTGAAAAAAAATCACCAAAAATTCAAAAAGACTCAGAACAAAGCCAAATTACTTTAACAAAGGTTTTATTAGGTGCACTAACGATTCTAAGCATTTTAAACATTTTTAAACCTTTTAGAATATTTTTAAAATAGCAAAAACAGGGCTGTAAAAAAAAAAAGTTAAGCGAAACAGGAGACCTAAAACTGTCATCGTTAAGTGAAGCAAGGTCCCAAACATCGTTATGCGAAAATCCCCCATAGGAAACATCGTTAGGTGAGGCAGCAAAATTTCCAGCAAAGGCCATCGTTCTGCGAATTCAT